TTTGTCACTTTCCACTACTACAATGAATTTTTTGTAACATTTGAATTGTAATACATTATCATTTGAAATCATCCCTATTATCATATTGGGAATAAGCCATACTATAATAAGGTTTCCTTAGTTGATTTTTGGGTTGCCCCCACTAGAAAAAATTTCTAGCTTTCTCCCTCAAAGCCTAAAGTTCCATTTGGGTATCAAAGATAGGTTATGTTACAGGAGGACTTTGTTCTCAACTCTTTTTGTTGTTCTTGTTCTGTTTTCTTGTCTGCAAGTTGGAGAAATGAGGTAATTGAAGGCAGAGCAATGGGCTAAGAACCATGGTGTTGTACTTGTGTTTCAGTCCCTCCAGAGGGTTCGACCGCCCCCAACCGGCCCTAATCCCTGCACCCTCATCCCCGGCCGCAGCTCGGGTATTTGCACCTGTATGAGATGAATGTTGCTTTACCACTTAGTGCATGAAGCCTTCTTAGCCGTGCCATTCCTCACTCTACTAATACCGAGAATTAACGTTCCGGCCGGCTATATTGAGACGCAGAAACGGGAGCAACAGATGTTATAAAGTTCAAAATGTGAATAATGCTTAGCTAGATTAGCATCCCTGCGGTAAAATTGATGTATAATAACCCATTTTTTTCATTATTTTTGTTGGTCAATTGGCTAAAAAGTTTTGGTTGTAATTGTAACCCATGAGACTATTATAACTTCAAAGAATTTTTTTTTATATTAATTGAACTCATTCTATTTGTTTTTTATTTATTTATTTTGAGGAGATGGATGAGCAAATCTCAATTTTTGTCTGAATTCTAATGAGCAGATGGATGAACAAATCTCAATTTTTAATTAAGTCATGTTATTAATCAACTGCTAAAACAGTAAAATCCCACAGATTGGTGGTGTTGTATCTGCTACACAAAATGCAAGATAAAACATCTTAATATCTCTCTCTCTCTCTCGACGGTGATTCAAACTATTGAAGATTTTGAAACTAATGCGTGATAAAAAGTTGTCAGCAGTGATTCCTCAATTCCAATTTCAACGTTTCTTTTGAGGCCGAATTAACTAATTTCTACTAAAATTTTCCTGCATGTGGCACTGAGTACAACACCTTCTCTTAATTTTTCTCCAATAATATTTTAATACACTTTATTTGCTCATTATCGTTTAGGATGAGCGGAACTTTATTTTTCATTTTTCCGGAGAAGATACAAGTCCAAATTTTACAGGCGATCATATTTTTTTTTTTTTTTTTTAATAAAAGAGACACTCATTCTAGACATCAAGACTTATTCTTATTCAATTTTGTCCTATAAAATTAAGTTTTTATTATTATTTTTTTTTGTCGAAATTCAAATATTATTAAAGATGAATTGAAATGTTTACATCAGAATCAGAGTATTAAATAGCCACTCTGGTTCAAAACGATCCCACATATGAGAACCCCCCACACGCTTGGCATAAGAAGCCACTTGATGCGCAACCCCATTACAAGCACGAGGAGTAAACAGAAACTCTACTGAACTCATTTGTTGTCGAATGTTCGTATCCCATAGGATACCCTCCAAAGCTGCCTCTGGAGCCAAGACCCCCGTTAAGCATTTCCACCAAGACCTTCGAGTTCGTCTCTAACTGAACTAACTTGAATCCCAACTCAACACAAGCCATCAATGCCAATCTCAACGCTTCCGCTTCCGCCATCAAATTGGAGCCACAAATTATATTGCCCATGCCACCAATGGATTGAAAGATCCCAGCAAAGTCCCTGGCAACCCACCCATAACCCCCCCAGTTTGCTTACACTAAGCCCCATCACAATTCACCTTGATAGTGCGAAAAAGGGGGCTTCACCCACCGTACCTGCACCTTTCCCTCCCCCTCAAGGTGTTGCCTATCTCTATGCTGCTGCATTATCTTCCCTCCACTGTCAGCAATTTCCCACACCTGCTGGCTCAGAAGCTCAAGCGCTCCACTCGGTGAGATTATAATTTTCTCAAAAACTACCCTTGCCGCCTACTTTGCTGATCTTGTATGGACCTTCCCATACGGGATCCATCTTTTTGGAGCTTTCTCTATGAGCAGTGATGAAGGCTTTTCTCAGGACTAGATCTACGGGCCGGAATTTCTGAATCCTTATCTGGGATCCTTGGGAAAGAGGATCAAGTTGGCCCTTGCGAACAGCTTGATGCAGTATCTCTCTTCAACCTTTTGAGCGAAAGAGTTATTCGGCATATTTTGATTCCTATATATGCACTCATGTGGTACTTCATTATATGATATATATATATATATATAAGAATTATACGATATATATAAGATCCATAGCAAATGACACACCTGAAATGGAAAAAAAAAAAAGAATGATTTTGACTAATGAAAATGGCCGTAGAATGAGTTCTACCTGGTTGAGAGCTCTCCTTGGCTTTGGCCCTCTTATTATAGTTGGAAAGGAGTTGTTGCTGGTAGGCTGCGATACGGGTGATGGTCTGCTCGCATTTATCCTCTACCAGATCTAGGCTTGTGGTAATCTCCTTACTGTTTTGCTCGATGCTTAGCAGTAGAGTGCTGATGCTTGGCATGATGACATTGGGAGGAATGATTTCTTCTGAACCAAATGCCAAAGAGAAAAGAGTCTCACCGATGACTTGTCGTTTGGTGGTACGATATGCGTATAGACATCCGAAGAGTTCGTCTGGCCATTTTCCCTTATTGTCGGAGAGGTACTTCTTAAGGCAGTCGAGAATTGTCTTATTGGATGTTTTGGCCTGCCCATTGCCTTAAGCATATCTCGGCGTAGACATGTGCTGCTTAATGCCATACTTTTGGAAGAAATTCGCCAAATCTTTGCTTATGAATTTGCGGGCCATTGTCTGTGACGATGGATTGAGGGATGCCAAATAAAAAAATGATGTTCCTCCATATGAAGCGTTCTATGTCTGTCTGAGTTGTGGTTATCATGGGCTCTGTTTCTACCTATTTGGTGAAGTAATCAGTTGCCACGATCATCATGCCTCTGCCCCAATAGCGGGCGACATTGGCCTTACCAAGTCGATTACCCACTACATGAACAGCCAAGGACTCGTTTGTGGGTGTAGTTCGTTGGCAGACAGTGCTGGTATCGGCTTATAGCGTTGGCAACGGTCGCACTTTTGTACTAACTCTTTAACGTCTTGATGCATAGTAGGTCAGTAATAACCTGCGTTAAGAGCCTTTTGTGCTAAGGATCGGCCTCCTGATTGATTTCCACAAACATCTTCATGGATTGAACTTAGAACCTTTAGGTCATCAGGAGGCGTTAGACAGTGGAAATGTGGTCAAGTGTAAGATTTTCAGACGAAGATGCCGTTCTATATGTAGTAGCGTGCTTCTTTTATTTGGAGCTTTCTAAACTCCAACCATTCCGCGGGGAGTGTGCCATTGACCAGGTAGTTTATAATATAACTTTGCTAGTTGGGAGTTATACTAACTTGTGACACTTCGGCTGCCAGCTCTGCCTCTATGCTTGGCTTGTCTAGTTACTCCACCAAAATAGAGCGTTTAAGTTGGTGGTCAAGGGCGGAGCCTAGGTCGGCTAGTGCGTCCATGTGGGCGTTGTCTGCCTACGGAACTTGGGTGAGAGTGTAAGTCTGAAATGCCTTAAGTTGCTTGCATACCTTCTCTAGGTATTGCGCCGTTCTTGGATGTTTTGCTGTGTATTCCCTAGTAGTCTGGCTGGTGATTAGCTAGGAATCGGAATGAATTACGAGCTTTTTGACCATTAAGTCTCTTGCCATTTGGAGGCCTGCTAGTAGGGCCTCGCACTTTGCTTCGTTGTTGGATGATTTGAAGCTTAGAGTGTTCGCCTACTCGACCATTGAATTGTCTGGGGTGACAAGAACCATGCCTGTTCCTGAACCTTTGTAGTTAGATGCACTGTTGACATGCAAATGCCGAAAGTTTCCATCGGGTGGAGCAGGCACGACTAAGGTGTGCTCGGCTACCTTTGGGGCATCGTTAGGCCATTCTGTTATGTTGCCTAGGCTAAGCGTTAAGGTGTAATAAGGAGCCGTAGAGCTAGGGCCATGTTACATGCAGCAGGAGATGCTCAACTGCTGGTATTGGGTCACTCTAGAGCTTAATTATGAAGCAAGGGTCGGCTGGGACCGTGTGACACGCAGCAGAAGGTGATGCTCAACTGTCGGTATATGTTGCTCCTATGTAGAATTTTTTGGGGCAACGACAACAAAACTTGTTTTCGAGTGTTTTATTCTAGTGTTCGTCTACCCTTGGTGCACCTTTTGGGCTAAGTTGTTGTGTTCGTCGGAAAACTTTACGCTCGCTAATATCTGCGTCTTTATCATCGCGGGTCCGGATTAGGCGGAACAGTGTGTCATGAGGATGACTGCGTGCGTCTGAAGGTATAACTTAAGCTTCTGGGTTGTAACAATTGTCGCCAAAGTTAGCTTTTGAATTTTTGGTTGTTGGTTTCTGCATCGAGGAGATCTTTTGAACTGTGTAATGCAGGTAGTTGGCCCCCAGCTCTTCTCGTATGATGGTAGAGCTTATTGCTACTTCAGATACCGTCAAACATATGAATAGGTCATCCTCTGCTTCTAGTTTGGATTGTAGGGAGTTGATGTCATGTACTCATTCAAGTCTTTGAATCTGGATCAGCGAGCCTTGTCCCAAAGTGTATGTCTCTCTGCCAGAGTGAAAAAGTCTGCCAGAGTTAGATCTTCTTTCATGATCAATTTTTCGAACAGTGGGTGGTCTGCTAGAAGTCCTTTTTAGAATGCTGCTCTAGCTATCGAGTTGTTGTATCTGACTATCTTTGCTTTATTTGCTTTGAACTTCTTCACATAGTCGTGAAACGACTCCTTTAGGTTCTTCTTGGCGTTGAACAAGTGGTCGGACTTCTTCTTGATTAAGCGATAAGATGAATATTCTTTGGTGAAAACCAAAGAAAGTTTGTTGAAACTCCAGATGGATTATGGTGGCAGGGTGTAGAACCAATCTTATGCCTCGCCTTATAGAGTGGTGGTGAATATCTTGCACGTGAGATCGTCGTTGTTTTGATAGAGGATCATTACGCTTCGGTATTGCTTAAAGTATCTCTCTAGGTCTCCATCTCCTTTGAAGGATGTGAAATATGGCATGCTAAACTTGCGTGGAGGCTCTGCTTGCTTGATCTCGTTCGTGAAAGGTGACCTGTTTATGTTGGTCATGTCTCGTCGTAGCACCTCATCAATGACCTTGTTGTGTTGGAAATCACGCAATTGCTCAGTTAAGAGCCTCTCTACTTCTTCCTGAATTTGCCTTTGTTGGGGGTAGTGGAGCTTTTGGCTGTCCCCAGTCTTGACCTGTTGGTCTAGGCTGCTCTTCCATGTGTTCAGCTCGTCTATGTCGCGACTGCGGTGTATGTGGTACTTTCCTAGCAAGCGAGTTAGTTCTTCGCAGGCTATCGGTTGAAGTTTAGCCAAATTGAGTAACTGTTTCTCATCGTCTGTCGTGCTACCTACTTCGATGTAAAGTGAAAGATGCTTATTGCAAGCCTATCCGCGAATGAACACTTCACCTGTAAGGTTACTCATGTTGATTATTGGAGTATGGCCTCAACCGTGAATTTATGCTTGTCTGTGGGCCTAACCGAGAATGCACACTCATCTGCGCACTAAGACGAGAGTATACGCTATCTCGGGGGCCCAGTCGGGAGTATACACTACCAAAACGGTCAGTTCGTGACTGGTCGAGTGGCTGCTTGTCCGGACGCTACTGGAGAGGTTATTCGTCTGCCCTTATCCTACTTCGGGACACCTCATCCGGGGCATGTTGTATCTCGGTGTGCTGCAATAGTTGATTCACCAAGGTCGTCTGTTGTGCGAGGGCGCTTGTCAACTTTATGACTTGTCAAGACAAGTGTGGTTTGCCATTTGGGTTAGAAGGTCTTGGACGGTATGCGTCTCTCTGAGTAATGGAAGTGTAATGGACTCCGGGCGCAAGATTTAAGAAGCCATGAGAATAGGATGGGCTATGGGAGTGGGCTGCTCCAAGTGCGGCACGCAGGGGAGTTGAGCCTGGGCTCGGCTCGGGTGCGCGTTGGGCTCGCGCCGGGTTGTGGCTTGGGTTTGCACATCCTGGGCTTGGGCCCTTGAAGCTTGAAATGGCACGGCTTGGGTTCTTTGGTCTTAGGCTCGGCCTTGGAGTGGATTGGGCTCGCGATGGCCTTGGGCCCCGAGGTCTAGGGTGCTGCTCATGTCGTGGCTGCTTGATTCTGGGCTTGCTCACCTTGGGCCTTCTTGTGTTGGGTCGAGCTGGGTTCCCTTGTGGCGCTGGCCTGGGCTCACTGATGCAAAGGTGGCATGGGCCTGGGCTTACGGCTGCAAGGTGAGGCCTGCTTCTTGGGCTCGGATCTCGCCGTGAGTTGCCACAGTGGCTATTGCCATGGTGGCTATCACGATGGTACCCCGTGAGGGTGGTGCCGTTCCACTCGCCGTTGTGTTAAGCCTCGTGGATTATCATGGTCCAAATCCTTGAAAGTAGGAAGTTCCGTTCGTCGTGGTTTTTGAATTTCTTGTTATTGTACTTTTCTTTTACGTTTATTCAAAGAATTTTTGTATAAAAAATTCTAGGAATGAGAACGTATGAAAAATCTATGAATGAACAAAAAGTTAGAAAGCACCAATTTGTGGATGCAAATTTCCGCCTTCTTCTTCTTGGACGAAAATGCACCTGCAAAATAATTAACACCTTAACTCAAGGCCAAGAGCCTTACGCGTCCACGATGAATGAATTTTATCTGATTAAAACTTGGGAGCTTATTTGATGTCTATCACATGCTGAGAAAAAAGTGGTGATAATCTGGAATTAGTTTGCTAGTCATATTTCTTCCTTTTTCATCTTAATCTCGTAGAGTTTTAAGTCATGTTGCATTAGATTAGGGCTTTGGCTGCTGCTGCCGCATGCGTTTAATATACAGATTCTGCTTTTCAATTGCGGTCATATACATGCACTGGTAAAAGAGATTTTTGCAGCATCCTTTTTATGTTAGTCGGCAGCCATGCATTAGGAAGAAAAGAAAATCATATTTTTTTCCTTGATTTTTTAGAGTATTGCTGCATGCGTTAGGTTTTTTACAAGTCATCATCATATCATAATTTTTGTTGCTGCGTGCATTAGAACATGCTTTTGGGTTTTGGTTTTTGCCGCCGTAAGCATTGATATTTGTATTATACTCTATATCGCTGCATGAAAAATCATTGGAGATCAAAAGTATGTTAGCAGCCCAGAAAAATCAGTAGTTTTATTGCCGAGTGTTTTTAAGGAGAAAGTTTATTTAGTTTTTAATCACTGGTATTTAGTTTTTAATCACTGGTTTTTCATTGTGCTTTAAACTGAGATTGATTATGAAAATGTATCTTGTGATTTTCATACTTGATTGTTTTTCAAAAATCATTTCATCATACATTCATTCTGCATGATCACATTAGTATCCTGCAAAGTTCGAGGAGAAGGTAACTGGCAACTGCGTTAGTATTACGCCACTTCCACTAGAAGGCTGAAGAGAGATCGGGTAGCGAAGCGTGGAGACAATACTGCCTACTAGTATGTGTGTCTATTTGATGAGTTTTGTAAGTCTTTTTGTACTCATTTCTCTTAGTGTTTGTCCTGGCTTGGGAGCCTGGGGATTTTCCCAGTGGTGGGTTTTGCCTCGTTAAATCCTACGTCATGTGTGCACATTTTATTTATCTTCATAATTGCATATGTGTAGGATAATTTATATGATGTAAATGTGGAATTAATTTGAAAACTGAAAATTAAATTGAAAATTCGATTGGACTTTTTAAATTGGAACCTATTCACCCACCCTCTAGGTTAAACTAGTACCATCCTAGAACTTTCATTTGGCACCAGAGCAGGTCACTAAAAATACTTAGTGAGATTCATGGGTAGTCTAGGATGAATCATGCTATGGGTTCAATTTCTCATCCACCACACTTTGATGGTGACAACTATGCTGCGTGGAAGGCAAAAATGAAATCGTTTCTGTGGGTGCAAGATGACAAGGTTTGGCTTGCTGTTGAAGAAGGTTGGGAACCTCTGACGATCAAAGAAACAAAAGGTGAATGAAAGTCCTCTACATCTGTATCTAAGCTCAAGCCTAGGAAAGAATGGACCAATGATGAGCGTAGCTCTTGTACTTTTAACCAAAAGGCTTTGAATACTTTATTCACAGCTGTTTTGCCTGAACAATTCAATTACATAAGTAAGAAGCTTGGGACATTCTTGAAGTTACTCATGAGGGTAACTCAATTTTTAAAGAATCCAAGCTTCAACATCTCATCACAAAAATTCACAAAATATCACAATGTCTGATGATGAGAGTTTCTCTGACTTTTATGCTAGGCTAAGCGTAATTGTCAATGGCTACCACAATCTTGGTGACAGTATTTCAAAATATAGAATTATGAAAAAGATCTTAAGATCACTTCCTATGAGGTTTCATACTAAAAGGACTGCAATTGAGGAATCGAAAGATCTAAACACTTACAAGCTTTAGCAACTGATTGGCTATCTGCAAACATATGAGTTAGAGCTTCCTAATTCCAATAAGGTGAAAAACATTGCTCTCAAAGCTGTCAAAGAAGAGGAAAGTGATGGCTTAATTGATGACTTGTCCAAAGATGAATTGGTTGAATTAACCATGCAAATTAGAAGATTTCTCAACTCTCAGAATTCCAAAGGTCGTGAGCAACGAACCAACTCAGGTTCAAACTCTAGAAACTTCATTCTCTAGATGTCTCACATGACAAAGCATCTAAATCCTTTAGAACTAGTGAGTGTAAGAGTTCTAACAATAGAGTGCAATGTCATGAATGCCAAGGGTATGGACATATTGCTTATGAGTGTGCAAATACTATCAAGAAGAAGGAGAAGAAGAATAAGGCAATGAATATTACTTGGAGCTCTAATGATTTGGGAGATGCATCTGCCTTCGAAAATGAGAAGGATACAACTACCCTTATAGGAATTATTGATGGATATAACACAGAAGGTTCATTTATTGAAGAACCTGACTTGGAAGAAGTCTTGAGAAAATATTTTGATCTTTATGACATTAGTGTGCAAGTAAAGAAGGATAACTCTATCTTGAAAAAGAAACTTGCATTAGTTGAAAGTGAAAAGAATGAAGCTAAACTTGAACATCAATCTCAGTTAGACAATGGAGAGAGATTGTGAGAGTCATTGTTAGAGGAGATACATATTCTTCAAACCACAAAAAGCACTCTCACGTTTGATAAGAAAGCTCTTCAGGATGAATTAGTTGAGATAAAAAAAAAAAAAAAACAAAGCTTAAGAATTAAGCATAGGTTCGGGAAAATTTGACAAGATGCTTAGCTATGGAAAGAATTTTGGAGATAAAAGAGGTCTAGGATTTGAGTTTGAAAAGACAATTAGTTCTTCTTCCATCACAAGATTTATCAAAGCGTCTGATATTCCTAGCTCAAAAGTAGGTGTCAATCAAGGTTTAGGTCTTACTTCTGAAACATCTACAATCTTTGCAAATGTGTCAAATCCTGCCAAGACTTCAGTTAATCCTAACAATCCCAAACAATCTAGGAAGTTCATTCCTATATGTCATTTTTGTGGGATTCCTGGTCACATCCGGCCTAAGTGCAATAAGCTTAGGAAGAAAAATTCTTCTCAAGAAAAAGTTTCAATGAACTCTAAGAAAGCAAATCTTAAGGAACAATTTGTGACTTATTTGAAAGAGATTAATCGGATTGCAAGAATTATATATGTTCTGAGTACGGTTGTTCCAAAAGTGCAACAAGTTTGGAGAATAAAAGAGAATCAAAGTGGTGTATTTGTCAATTCCTCTCCACGTTCAAGTTGTTTATATTGACTGAGCTCTCTCTTTGCAAATGCTTTCATTTATGTATGCTTGCATATTCATATAGCATTGATATTGCATTTTTTATGTCTTCTTGTTAAAAAAAAAATATGTATGAGGTAAAATGGAAAAGTATGATTTCATATGAGTTCTAGCTTTGTTCACTTGATAACATGACCCTAGCATGATATGCTTGACCTGTTGTGGACAATAGCCTCTTGTTGATAATATATGAATGTTGTTGATGCACAAAATCGGCGAGGAAAAGTGAAGGCGACACCATGAAAAACACCACTCCTATCGCTCTTGTCGAACTGTCGTCCATTGTCCGTGATTATCGCATTAGGAATGCCAAATCTGCAAAGGATGTTCTTCCATACGAAGTCTTCTATTTTTACCTCAGTAATGGTTGCCAAGGGTTCTACTTCGGCCCACTTTGTGAAGTAGTCAACTGCAACTATTGCATAGCGGACCTTGCCCTTTCCTGCAGGCATTGGGCCGATCAAATCAAGTCCCCATTGGGCGAAGGGCCAATGGCTAATCATAGGAGTAAGAGGCTCGGGAGAGGAGTGATGAATAGTTACGTAGCGTTGACACTTATCACATGAGCGAGATATTCTGATGGCATCTTGGTAGAGTGTTGGCCAGTAATATCCTTGGCGAAAAGCCTTGTGTGCTAAGGATCCAGATCCAGTATGATCTCCGTAGACTCCTTCATGTATTTCTCGAAGGACAATTTCCGCTTCCACAGGTGTGAGGCACCATAAGTATAGTAGGTTGAAACCTCGCTTGTAGAGTTGGTCATTAATGATCAAGTAGCGGGTAAACTTGTATCGAATCTGTTTAGCTAGGACTTTATCATTTGGGAAAGTGCTATGAACAAGGAATTTGTAAATTGGGGTGATCCAGCTATCCCCCTGTTGCAAGTTGCACACTTCTATGACCATGGTGCTTGGTGTTGCCAACAATTCGGCATGAATTTTTCTCCCAATCTTGTTTTTCACTGCTGAGGCGAGGCGAGCCAAAGCGTCTACATGACTATTTGCCGCTCGAGGGACTTGGGTGATCTGGTAGTGGAAGTGTTTAAGCAAAAGATGCATTTGCGCAAGATACGCTGCCATGGAGTTATCCTTAACATCAAAGTTGTTTGTGACCTGGTTAACCACCAATTGGGAGTCACTGAAGATATTAATTTGTTTAACTCCAAGGTGTTTGGCCAAACGTAAGCCTGCTAAAAGAGCCTCATACTTGGCTTCATTGTTTGACGCCTTGAATTTGAATCGGAGAGTATACCCCATTGCCACTTTGTCGGGGGTAATCAGGACTAGTCCTGCTCCACAACCCTGTTGGTTGGATGAGCTATCAACATATAGAGTCCATACTAGGAGTGTTGGTTTTACTTTTCGGGTTTCCAGGGATGATGAAGCCGCTGCCTCAGGTGTAGGAGAAATGTCAACGGGATAAGTGAATTCGGCAATGAAATCTGCAACTGTTTGGCCCTTTTCAGCTAGTTTTGGGTGGTAGGAGATGTCAAACTCTCCCAATGCTGTGGCCCATTTGATAATTCGCTCCTAAGTGGCAGGACTCTGAAGTATTTGTCGAAGGGGGTGATTGGTAAGCACGATGATGAAGTGTGCTTGGAAGTAGGGGCGAAGTTTCTGAGCAGACATGACTAATGCTAGAGCTAATTTCTCAATGTTAGAGTATCGTGTCTCCGCATCTTGTAGAGCTTTGCTAGCGTAGTAGACAGGTCGTTTGATACTACCATCCCTACGAAAGAGGACTGAACTAACTGCTGAAGCTGAGACAGATAGATAGACAATTAGGGTGTCGCCAACTTCAGGTTTGGAAATCAGAGAGGCTTCACTCATGTATCCTTGAGGTTCTTAAATGCTTCGGCACATTCATCGGTCCACGTAATGTACTTCTTACTTCCCTTAAGTGCTTTGAAAAAAGGAGCGCATTTGTCTGTGGCCTTAGAGATGAACCTGGTCAAGGCTGCCACCTTGCCAGTAAGGCTCTGGATGTCTTTTGAGGTTACTGGTTCTTTCATGTCCATGATTGCTTTGGTCTTCTCGGGGTTAGCTTCAATGCCTCGTTGGCTAATCATGAAGCCCAAGAATTTTCCAGAGCCCACACCGAAAACGCATTTGTTGGGGTTCAACCTCATTCGATACTTCTTCAGGATGGAAAAGGTTTCAGACAAGTTGGCAATGTGTTGGTCAGCATGTTTGCTTTTGACTAACATATCATCAACATAAACTTCCACGCTTTTGATGTGAGAATTATACGCACACAAATTAAACCCTCTTTTTATCAATTGTAGTGAAGAATGTAAGTAGGGATCGTTCTGGACCGGGGATTAGGAGTGATTGTTAATCACTTGGATTTGACTCAAAAACGTAAAAACACAATATAAAACACCAAACTAGACCCAAAGAATGCAAAACTAAAGTTTAAAACACTAAAACAACCCAAAAGACTCAAACAGTAAGAAAACACTCAAAACTGCCTTAAAACTACTTTCTGAGCAGTTTTGAGCACTAGAGAAGAATTTGGACGAAAAGAGTTATAACTTGACTCAAGATACTTTAAAAACACAAACTAAATTGATTTCTAACTAATTTGACACTCCAAGTAAAGGGGGATTTTGATTTTGACGAATTTGAAAACAAAACTTAAAACTTTGTAAAACGAACAGATTTTAAAACAAATTTGGATTTAATGAATGGAATGAAAGCTAGCTAAGGGGTTCATCTCCACACATGCCATACTTGCACACAAAATGATTTCTAATTGCTTTTCAATAACCCATGAATTCTCAACGCCCCAGATTAACCGTGAATTGCACTAATTAACCCTCAGATTTTCCTAACGTTATTGAATTGGATGATTGCATACGACAACCCAAAGCATTCCCTACAAGTTCCCTACATGAATTGCATAATAGAGATACAAGCAAGAATCATTAAGTTCTTTGAAAACCATAAGCATTGACGAAGCACTCGTTACTATGAATTGCATGAAACTTATGCCAAGAATTTACTTAACGCAATTGAGGTCATCAACTTTTACTACTTGTGAATATAAGTTTGTAACGATTAGATGAAACTTCCTTATATCCTAGCATTAGATTTATGCATGATAATTAAGCGTGCACTCTCAACCAACACACACAAATCAGTTTAATTCAAATAGATAAGTGAATTGAATTCACAACTTATGAAACGCAATTAGAGGTAATCAAATCATATAGCAAGCATGATCATGGTTTCGAATCCCCCCCTAGCCAAGGGGGGGTTTAGTTCCTCATACGTACAAGACAAAGTGAAGTAAATTTAACCATTAAAATCAAAAGAGAGGAAACACCTAAAAATTCCAGCAACTCGAACTTGAATTGCATGAACATCCAAGCCCTCTTCTCCTCCTCTTTGTTGCGGCACAAGGTCTAAGGACATGTTTTGGGTGGTATTTGTATGGAGGAATGGATGTGTGATGGTAGGGTAGTGTTTAGGAGGGATGGGGAGTACGGCAAGGTGGAAAAATATGGAGAATGGTGAAGGATGGCTGCGGCAAAGGGTTGGGAATGTATTTCTGGCGAATTTCTGAATGTGGAGGAATGCATGATCCTCAATTGGTGCGGCAAGGGGGTCTATTTATAGTGCAAAATCCCTTTCAATCAGCAAGGAAAAGGACTAAGTATTTGAAGATGACAAGGAAATCAAAACCTATCAGGAATAGGCCATCTAGAAGGTAGGAAACCCCAAAGGAAAAGGAATAGAGGCGCCAGATTTTTAGGGTTCTAAAAAAAAAGTGTTTTGTGACAGAAATTGGCTTTTCTAGAAGGATTTGGGGCGCCACCTTTGTAGGAGATAAGATAAGGTTTCTAGAATCATGATTTAAGTGCCAGATTTGTAGGGAAAAAGAGATAAGGGTGCAGCACCTTCTTAGGGATAATGTTAGGGCTTCTAGAAAGCCTAAAAACTAAGAGGAGTTGGATAAAACCCACGGCAAAGATAGGATAGGGCATCTAAGGCTTCTAGAAACCCTCCAAGATAAGGTAAAGTGCATGGCATCCCTATAGGATTAGGATTAGGTGTCCTAAAGTGTTTAGGACTCCTCTTTGTGGCTGAAAACCTTGTGCATTAGGATTAGGAAAGCTAATCCTTCTTCATCTTGGAATTCTTCTCCTTCTTGGACTTGGAAAACTTCTTTGTTGCTGCAACTTGAGGCCATTGGGATTTAACTTTCCTACTTCAAGTAGGACACCTTGTTCTTCTAGGAATCATCATCTTCAAGTCTTCAATTTTGTCCATCCTCTTGGCTCCAAGCATATGATGTCCATTCCAAGCTCTAATTTGCTCCAAAAGGCTCCAAAATGCATCCTTTTGCATACTTTGCCCTTAAATCCTGAAAATACATAAAACTAGCTTAAAAGACTACTTTACTAAGGAAAAACACTTTAAATGCACAAGACAAGCTAAACTAAGGTGCATAAATATGCCCCTATCAGCTTTTTCCAATCTGTTCAGCGAACATTGAATTGACTAATTTTTGATAAGTCGCCCCTGCATTTTTTAGGCTGAATGACATGACTTATAGCAATATAATCCTCTATCAGTAGTGAAGGCCGTGTGTTCTTGGTCCGAAGGGTTCATGAGGATTTGATTGTACCCTGAGTAAGCATCCATGAAGCTTAAGAGTTCACACCCTACTGTAGAGTCTACAAGTCTATCAATGAGAGGAAGGGGAAAGCTATCATTCGGGCATTCTTTGTTTAAGTCGGTGTAGTTGACACACATCTCCACAACATCTTTTGAAGCAAGAGACTTTCCTTGGTCAGATTTTTCTTAACAAGGACCACATTTGCTACCCACGTTGGATAATTGACTTCACGGATGAAGCTTATGCTTTTAAGTTTTTCAACTTCTACCTTCATTGCTTCATATCGTTCAACATCATAAGATCTTCGCTTCTGTCTCACCGGCTTGGTCTTGGGATTAATACTCAAGCGATGACAGATGATATCGGGAGAGATGCCTGACATGTCATCGTATGACCAGGCGAAGACTTCAGTGTTCTCTTGCAAAAAAGAGATCAATGCCAACCGAATAGGTGGTGACAAAGTGGTGTCAATCTTCACTATGCGATCTGGATAATCTTTTGAGATAGAGACCTTCTCCAACTCTTCAGCAGGTTGTGCTTGCTAGGTGAAAGAATCATCTTGAGGATCGTCGGGTTGATTGTTACCATCGTGAATATTCAAGTTGGCTTTGTCCGAACTGGTCTTGATGACTTGGTCATGTATAGAAAGTGTTTCTTTGGGTACATGCAAGTGTTGTTGCTTGACTGAAGTGTTGTAACATAATCGTGCACTAAGTTGATCTCCTCTGATGTAATCATTGTCATAGGGGGTTGGAAATTTCATCAACAACATATGCGTGGATACCATGGCCTTGAGATCATTAATGCCTGTGCGCCCAAAGATGACATTGTATGCCGTTGAGCAGTCGACCACCAAGAAGTTAGTGGCTGCGTACGAGCCTGTACCGATGGTGAAGGGTAAATGTACGCTCCCTAAAAGTTGCACGACATCACCAGAGAAGCTTATCAGAGGAGAAACCGAGTGATCGAGCAAGTGTTCAGCTACATTAAGTGTTTTGAAAGCTTCAGCGAACATGATATTGACCGACGCCCCCGTGTCTACCAGGATTGGTCGTACATCAAAGTTGGCTGTGTGAGCCTCCACAATCAGTGGGTCGTTGTAAGGATAGATGATACTTCTTTCTTCTTCAGGGTAGAAACATATTGGATCCCAGTTAGGCTTTTGATACTTGCTTCCCCTGATGTCTTCCACGTGAAACACTTGGTGGCCAGGCTTCAACGTTCGTTCATTGTTTTTCATGGCCCTGTTGGAAAATTCAGAAATGGGCGTGCCACCGCTTATGGAATATATCACATTCACTTAGCGTTGGTTGCGGTTATCCCTTGGAGGGTGAAGGAGGAACTGGTCAATTTTTCTTTCACATGCCAAAGCTTCAATATGATCACGGAGAGTGATACATTTCTCGCCGTCATGGCCATTATACTCGTGGTAACCACAAAACATGCCTGTGTTCTTCGTGGACTTGAAATCTGGCTCTCTCGGCCTTGGCTTTGGTATCAAGTGAGCTATACTGGGGTAAATGGCCGTGCATGTGGCGTTCAAAGGTGTGTATGTCTCATACCTCAGGGTAGGACCATTCTTGACACGTGTTTGGCCCACTGCATTGACCGCCTGGGGGCGGGTATTATCGTGGTAATACCTTTGGTTATCACGATAGTGCCTCTTACTCTTTTTATTAAAGTGAGACTGATGAGGATGGAAGTCTTTCCTCTTGCCCTGAGAATGATACGCCTTTTGACTTGGCGAGATATTAGGTAGGGCAGGGGGAAGCGTCGCTGCTGTTTGGAAGGTTGAGGTCTTCTCATTGGGTTGAATTTGGCTTCCATTCCCCATTTGCTGATAAGGGATGGCTGTAGGGGGTTTCCCTTGATATGTCCTTGCCTCGGCGGAGGCATGGTTATAAGCCTGTGCCATTACCTCAGAGTAAGTCTTCCAAGTGTTAGCATTGATCATGTACTTGAAGAAACAGTCGAGTAGGCCTACCGTGAAGGCTTTAAGGGTGGTCTTGTCATCTGCCTCAGCGCAGTGAGAATACTCATGGCTGAAGCGGCTGGCATACTTTCGTAGTGACTCATCCGGCTTCTGGCGAATAGTGTACAAGTCATCTGCGGAATGCAAGCGATTTGTCTAGAAGATATGTTGAGAGACAAATAATTTCCTCAGTTCCTCAAATGAGTCTAGTGTCTCAGGTGAAAGACGACAATA